TTTTTAAAATTCCCCCGAATTACGAACAAATTTGGAACATCCTTTGGAACAGAACTTGTTTTTGTAGTTGTTAATCGCTAGGATTTTTGTGATTTTTTTATTTCTAGCATTAAAAAATATATTAATACACAAATATTAACAATAATTACAATTATTTGTTCCATTTTTAACAATTTTAATGATTTTATTTAATATTTTTCATTCATTCAATTTGTGCGAGTTTTTCAAATTAATGCATGGAATAAATGATTAAAGTGAACTTTACTAGTAGTAAGAGTATGTAAAAGGTAATATAACGTATTGAGTATAAATGGATGGATTAGGTGATGATTGGAAAGTGATCTTGTATTTTTTTCACCTCGAGTAAAACGGATAAACATGGAGCTTAATATAATCAAGAGTGAAAGTCGGAAACGGGATTATTTTTGCTATTATTGAATCCAAACGTCGAAGAAAATTTATTCTCACTCATCAAATACAGAATTAATAACAAACTTATCATCATTATTAAAACTTATAATTTTCACAAAAATGTGTATTTTTTAAGTGAAAAATAGATTTTAAATTTAAAAATTATTCATAATTTTTTTGTTTGAATGCAAGTAAAAAAAAATATCATATAATTAATACTTAAAGCATTATTAATTAATAAAAATGTGATAATAATTACAAAATCTAACAAATAACTAAAATAAACGTTCGATAATTTTGTTGCAAACAAGTATGTTTTACTTATAAAGTGGAACGGCATATTTCACACTTGAAAAGTTCAAAAAAATATTTATTTCTTATAAATTGCACGCGGAGAAAGTGCAGCAAACAAACATAAATAATAAAAAATGCGATTGTTGGTCGATATATACGTTCTCGTTTTAATTGTGAAGACGTTAATTACGATATAAATAAATAATAATGTTAATAAATTGTGCATTTACCGTTGTACAAATGTGCTCCGCATACATTGAGTAGTTTCCATGAACTGCTTTTAATTATAGTAATGATTAATTAATTATAGTGTTTTATGACTGATTGTATATTCTTACATAGGTTTTACAATTTAGTTTGATACATGAGTATTTGTAGTAATTCATAGTTGATTGGGTTTGTTTATTCATTCATGAAATGTATTAGTTGAAATTAACACGTTGACGATGACATGACCCACCGGTGGGTCATAAATTATGAATAATAGTTTTGTCGCTATGCACGCCACTGATTATGACTTAAATATTCTACATCAATTACCCCAAAGCTGGATGCCGTACGGCTTCAGCACTGTCTTGTATATTAGTAGTTTATTTTCAAGGGATAGTTGTGATCTTCTTCCGATCAGCCAGTACAAATTGATACCCAGTTGCTTCCCTTTAGTTGCGATGTGATTCTTTCACGTGGGTCGGCGATCCAAGAACAAGCCCAAGTATTTGACATTGTCCGTTTTACTGTTCAGTGTGACCGAGGGTCAGGTTCCCTTTCTAAGGGTAAAAGTGACGTGGCCTGGATTTGGTTTCGTTGACTTTGATCCGCCACTTCCTGAGCCACTTCTGATACGAGTCGAGATGACTCTGTATATAATTATTAGTCAATAAAACTTATTTTTAGAAATTTAATTAGAAATTTTTTATAAAGTTATAAAATTTGCATTAATTTCACATTAAAATTCGTAAAAATTATTATCATTAAGTTTGTATATTAGTATATATTAGTTGGTTATATAATTTATTATTTAAAATTAAATTACAAACATTTTGCAATAGAAAATTCACGATTTTCATGATTTTTTTCTAATATAAATATAGGAAAAAATATAGATTAAACATAATTACGTTTAGTACATAAATATGAACAATAATACGAGAATAATTGAATTTCATAAATAAATAAATTTATTTTTTCTTTAATTGTTACAAATGATAACGATACAATAACTGGAAAAATACTGGAAAAAAATCAGTTACAAACCTACATTTTCTTTAAATTTTCATAAATTGTTTAAATTAATTACATAAAATGATTTACAATAATGAAGAAAAACTATTAATTTCCTATTTTTTCATTTTATTTTTGTTTTTATGAAAATAAGAAATGTAAGTTTTTGAGCTTTTTTTTCGATAATCAAAAATATAATGAAATTAATGAAAGAAAATTCAAAAATAACATTGTAACAATTATGTAATTAAAAAAAAACTAAATGAATAATTTGACAGTCTAAAATATTGGGTAAAGTAAAAAGTTCGGAGCTTTTTGTCACATATATCGAGCTTCTTCTTGCGACCAGCCTTATGCAAATAGTTTCTGGCTAATCTTCAGTTCCTGGACAATGGAATAAGTGCTCGCATTCCGGTCTGACTCGACGATTTCCATGATTTTATTTAAAATTGATTAAAATTTGTACAAATTTCTATTTTTATTACATTACTTTTAAATCGAATTGTACACTTGCAATTAATTTGTTTTTAATATTTGGCTGTTTGTATCTTAATTTTACATAAACTAAAGTTATATCTAAAATATGTATTGTGATTTTTTAAATAATTTTTCACTTTATCTCTGGCTATTGCAATAAATACATTGATATTAAATTTGGATGATCAGGCTTTTAAGGGTTGAACAAAAAAGATAAATAAAATTAAATTAACAGAAAACTAGTTTTAAGAGTAATCAATGAAATATTACATGGCATTCGTTTCTTATATACAGTGAGGCTCAATTGAACTGCAACTTTTCAGAACGTTGTATTTTTTTTATTTGAAATTGTATTTGGTTGAACCAAAAGCAAAAAATGTTGGAAAACAATTATATTTTTTGAATGCATTTAAAATTTTCGATATAGCCGCATATAGCGCGAACTATGGAACTATGGCTCAGAGTTGGTCGACAAGCGAGTCGCACGCTGAACGTATGTGAACCTGTGGAATCTTCCTCCATTCACGAAGAAGGGCTTTCTTGAACACATTAACACTCTGGTATTTTTTTACCGAGAAGTCGAGCGGATTTGCATCAGGTCAACGTGCGGTCAAAATAAAGTGTGGAACGTTGTCTCTCAGCCATTGTTGGTTTTCGTGTTATTTGTGTGATGTTGCAGAATCTTCTTGAAACGTCCACTCTTTCTGACTCAAATGGACAACCAACCACGGCTTCAGAGCATCTTCTAAAACTTTTTCGTAGTAGACATTCGCATTAACAGTGACGCCACAGTCCAAAAACACCAACTGAAAGCAATACTTGACTTCTTGTGGCCATTCAATCGAATATAAGTTAATTCGATCATTTTGTTTGTTTTCAAATGTCTCAATTGGGAAATTTTTCTCATCAGACAAGACAATATTTTGCAATTGACTGCGTATCTGCAAGCACAACAGCTCTTTCCCTCTATCGAGTCTAGTTTTTTTTAAACATCGGTGAGATCTTGTCCTCGCGGATTTAATTCAATTTGATCCTTAAGTTCAGAACCACTTCTACCACAGATGTAGTTTTTTTTTCGACCACCAAAATAACATTTTGTAACACTACTAGCTTTGTTATAACGTGTTATGATTCGAGACATGAAAGATTTATTCACATTGAGGTGTTCGAGTGCAATAGACACACATGGTTTTTCGCTCAAATATTGGGCTATCACAATATCACGTTTCAATTCCATCACGGATAATTATGTTTCCAAAAAACAGAGATGTAAATGCTTCTACAAGCTTGTAAACAATAAAATCAGCTATTATTAGGCAAAATACGGACACAGTATTGCCAGCGGTTCGAAAGTTATAGCAGTTTTAAGTTGGTTCCAATTCAATTGGGCCACCCTGTATTTAAAATCTTAAATTTCGTTTGTATTTTCATGTTTCTTTCCTCAAAATTCAAATAATATAAAGAAATTAACGATACGAAAAAAGAAACACATAGAATTGGAGTAATTTAATTGTTAATCTTATTATGATAAAAATAATATTTTTTTGATTTCATACAATTTGTATGAATTTACATTTTTAAATTAAAGAAATAGAATTCAATTAACAAAAACTAGAATAAATGAAAACTATATTCAAATTGTAGTAAAATTGTATTGGTTTAGTAATCTAAATTTTGTTATTTTTCATTATATGAATGTTTTTGATATATGAATAAATTAAGAAAACAAAGCAAACTAAATTTTAGGTTAGGTTAAATTATTATTGTATAAATTGTCTAAGGTTAAGTTAGGTTAGGTTATGATACATTTTATTTAGGTTAGAAGTTTTGATTTAAGAAACATATCTACAGATTTATTATTTTTAATTACACTTTTTTTTAACAAATATTCTCCGTTTTTTGGTATACATATAAAAAAAACAAAGAAAACTAAATTTTAGGTTAGATTATGACACATTTAAATAGGTTAGTTTTTTTTTAGTAAATTTGTTTATAGCAATACAAAATCAAGTATAAATATATATTAATAAGTTTGGATTTTCATGTTTCTTTCCACTAAATTTAAATGAAATTAACGAATTATATATAAAAAGAAACAAATAAAATTTACGTCCGGGCCAACAGAGGAAATACGCACTTTATTTAACTTCAATTAAATATTCATCAAATATAATTTCTCGAGAATAAAACGAACACACGGAGCATCCAATTCCTTCTTTCAATCGCTCGTTATTCTTCACAGACATCGCATCTTTCGGTAAGTGAACTTGCCATTGACACAAAAAACTTCTTTTTTTAATGGATTTTCCCATCGGGTGGTGTTATTCATTGCACATTACATATATAATAATTTATATTTTATTTAATACCGCAAATGTGAAAACGGTTCTCGCGGTGGAAAGAGAACGCAGAATTGCAAAAAAAAAGAAGTGGTAGTAGTAGTAGTAAGGAATGAAGAAAGAAGTGGAGAAGACGAGGAGAGGATGTGCTAAGTGAAAGGGTTAGAGCGAACGCGATTTAGCATTAAGTTTTGAAGTGCATCGGGCACCAGTTTAAGCTTTCCACTGCAGTTGGAAACTTGGCAGTGTTTTTTTGGTCAGATACCACCGACGACCGACTGACTTAGTGACTCCGGTGGTAATGTACGTGCATTGAACCTCCAAGACGAAGTACAAGATTAAGTTCATTCTCACAAAACTATAATTAATCCAATAAAGTGGTAAATATTATATATTTTTCTTAAACATTTTGTATATAATTAAATCAAATATAATTATAAAAAAATCATAAATTAAATAGATTTTTGATACTTTTAAATGAGTTTTTTTTTATAGAAAACTAAATCAAATATTAAATTTTCATTAATTTTCCTTCAAATTAAGATACAATTGGACAGAAAGGTCAATAGACCTTGGAATCAGTTAACTTTTTGATATATTTTCATTATTGTACTAAGTTCATTCTCATAAACTATAATAAATCCAAATAAAAGTGGTAAATATTAATATTTTTCTTAAACATTTTCTATATAATTAAGTCAAATATAGTTATAAAAAAATCATAAATTAAATAGATTTTTGATACTTTCAAATGAGTATTTTATAGAAAACTAAATCAAATATTAAATTTTCATTAATTTTCCTTCAAATTAAGATACAATTGGACAGAAAGGTCAATAGACCTTGGAATCAGTTAACTTTTTGATATATTTTTATTATTGTACTAAGTTCATTCTCATAAACTATAATAAATCCAAATAAAAGTGGTAAATATTAATATTTTTCTTAAACATTTTGTATATAATTAAGTCAAATATAGTTATAAAAAAATCATAAATTAAATAGATTTTTCACACTTTTAAATAAGTATTTTATAGAAAACTAAATTAAATATTAAATTTTCATTAATTTTCCTTCAAATTAAGATACAATTGGACAGAAAGGTCATTGGACCTTGAAACAGTTAACTTTTTGTTATATTTTCATTATTGTACTAAGTTCATTCTTACAAACTATAGTAAATCCAATTAAAAGTGGTAAATATTTAATAAATAACGTATTTTGTATATTCAAGCACTTTCTATTCGATTTTATTTCATTAGAAATTAGTATTTTTTTCTTTATGAACTTAAGTTTACTGCAGTCAGTTGCATGTTGCAAACGTGCACGAATCTTGAAAGCCTTTCGCATTACTTACTACCCATAACTTTCTTTTAATTTATATAATTGTTAATAACAATATTTAAGTTTCGCTCTGCTAATTGTTAATTTACACGGAAAATACATAAAAGAACGCGAAGAAAAATTTCAAAAATAAATAATAACAAATTAAAATTCAAAAACTCTGTAAATTATAAAATTGCTTTTTATTATAGTAAATTTTCATTATTTTTCATTGAAAACCAGATATAATTTAAGTTTTTCTCTTCTAAATATTAATTTATTCGAAAAAATGCACGAAAATATAGACAAGTATTAAAATAATTAACAACAAATTGAAATCATTTATTAATTTAAATAAAACAATATTTTTTTATTCAAAAGAAGATATAATTCGACTTGTTTTTTTTATTTAAATTTATTTAATAGTTAATAACAATGTTTAAGTTTTTATCTACTAAATATTATTTTTTACAAAAAACGAATGAAAATAATATTAATAAATTGAAATAACAATAAAATGAAATCATTCATTAATTTAAATAAATTAGTAAATTTTCATTAATTTTCCTTCAAAAGAAGACATAATTCTCTACTTTTTTTTTAATTTATTTAATTGTTAATAACAATATATAAGTTTATCTCCACTAATCGTTACTTTACTCAGAAAATGCACAAAACCGAAGACAAATAATAAAATAATAATAATCACATTGTATAGTAGACTAAAGTAGTAAATTTTCATTCAGTTTTTCCTTCAAAAGAAGACATAATTCCCTTCTTTTTTAAATGTATTTAATTGTTAATAACAATAATTATGTGTTTCTCTAATAAACGTGAATTTAGTCATAAAATGCACAGACAGACAGACAAAATTAATAAGAATAAATTGGAATCATTTATGAATTCAAATAAACTTTAATTAATTCAGAAATTTCAAAAATCAATTAGCCATATAGTTACATTTTATAGTAGACTAAAATTTTAATTTTAATTCAGTTTTTCAATCAAAAGAAGACATAATTCCCTATTTTTTAAATTTATTTAATTGTTAATAACAGTACATAAGATATTATCTACTAAATATTAATTTACAAGTTGAAATCATTTATTCATTCTAATAAACTTCAATAAATTCCTAAATTTAAAAAATCTGTGCAATAATAGACTAAAATAGTAAATTTCTATTAATTTTCCTTCAAAATTTAATTTTTAACAACAATATATAAGTTTTTCTCTACTAAACGTTAAATTACTCAGAAAAAGAACAAATAAAAAAAATAATAAGAACAAGTTTAAATTATCGATTAATTCAAATAAACTTCAAATAATTCATAAGCAATAAAATCACATTGTATAATAGTCTAAAATATTAAAACTGCAATATTTTATCTTACTATTTTCTATATGTATTTAATTGTTAATGACAATATTTTTTTTTTCTCTACTAAATTTTAACTTACTATAAAATATATGAAATTGAAGACAAATAAAAAAAAACAATTATTGAAAAATTTAATAATAAACACATTAATGAAATAAATCATTTACACTTTTTAAATGAATTAGTTTTCTTAAAATTTCATTAATTTTGCTTCAAATTAAGATAAAATAAGGCATAAAACCTATCAAATCATTAACTTTTTAGAGATGTTGACTTTTTGTTTAAGCTTTTATTTTGAATTTTTATTGTTGCAACAAATATTATATATTAACATAAAATTTAATGTGCAGACATTAAAATCAATAAATATTTGAAATAATGTTTAAATACTTCATAATTAAAGATAAATTAGAATAAATTAATATTTTATAGTAAACTATATAAAATAGTCTTTTTTTTTCATTCAAAAGAAGATGAAATTTTCTCTCTTTTAATTTATATAATTGTTAATTATAACATTTAAGTTTCTCTTTGCTAATAGTTAATTTACAAAACTAAATAACCGAAGACATTAAAATGCTGTGATTATATTTAATATATTAGTTTTTTATATAAATGTATAAATAATAAATTAATATTTTAGTAAAATAGTTAATATTTTAGTAAATTTTCATTCATTTTCCATCAAAATAATACAATTTTGAACAAATTCTGTTCATTCATTAATTAAATTATGATTAAACTATGCAAATGATGATTTTAATATATTCATTTTTATGTACTGGAAATTGCAATGATGAGTGACAAAAGTAATATAAAAAAAATCTTGCTTGCATAAAAATTGTAACACAGAAGTTCGAATCAGCGAAACATCGCGCGCGAGGACGAAGGTTCAATAAACTCGAAACTCAGGGAAATCATGATGATCGGACGAAAATCGTTTCGAGTTGCTTCGCTTTCAACCGATTCTTTCAGTCTTCTCATACTCACATTATTTTTTTTTCTTTTCATTTATTTTCTCTCCAAGAGCGAACTTGTTGCAATATTGAAATTGTTGAGCAAACAGCTCAATTGTCGTTTGCGCAAACATCAGCATCCGTTTGAGCCAATCCCTAATTTAGTTTTGTTAAACATGAAGAAAATAAGATTTTTTTTGTTTTGTTTTCAGAGAATCTGCAGAGATGACGTCGTTAATGCATTTGGTCGTGGAAAACTACAACGAGCTGCTAGAATCCAAAAAGGGTAAATATTGAATAAAAGAAACAAAATTTCGCTGTCGCAAGAGGAAGTTATCATTACTCGACATGACATGCAACCATTAATGTGTGCATCGTTTTCTTACGAAGTGAAACTATTTTTTTTTAATAAACTTAAATTTATTTGTTCAAAACAAAACTTACATTCTAAAATTTATGCAGAGTAATTTAAATAAATTTTTGTGGATTATTTCTTCTATAATGCAAAGAATAACACATTGTCGTGTCCCGGGATTAAGAAATCCTTGGACACCGTGGATTATCTCGTAGTTATGTCGTTGCGGAGTCTTAGAGGGGTTTATGAATATTAAATGCAATATTCTTAATTAACTTTATTGTATACATCGGAGTTTTATTGAGAAGTCAACTATACAATAGTTGATCTCATGGATTATTACTAAAAGTTACTTTCTCCTCTTAAGTTAGTAGTTATGAAATAAGTGCTTTTCCTTGGACTCTCCAAGTAAGACCATGTTCTTTGTTGGACCCTCTTACTAAGACTTCCTCTCATTTCGGTCTCCTGACTAAGACTTCCTCTCTGTGGAAAGTGGTAGACCTAACAAATATACATATTAGTTATACAATAGATGATAATAAATTGGTCGGCCACGAAAATGTATTAATTAAAAGAAAACTATAAAATCCTTAATTTAATTACTTTTACAAACGCTGATTGTACAAAAAAAGAAGGTTAAAAGTTGATTCTTTACTCAATAATGCAATGATCTGAATTCATACAGAATCAAACAGATTAATTGAAACAAGATTAAAAGTTTATGAAAATCTTTTTACTTATCGTTGCTTTTAAAAATTAGAACTAAATATTACAAACTAATACTTAATATGACCTCAAACAAAGAGTTTACTCCGATTCAATATGGTAGAAATTGTAACCAAATACAAAGAAAGAAAAAATACAAATACAAATACAAGAAAGAAAAAATGTTGCAATTAATTTGTTTGATACTGTAGTTTTATATTAACTAAAAGGTAAATTTAAAATCTCTAATTTACTTAATTTTTTTCACAAATTTTTAACTAAAATTAAATTTATTTGCACAAAAAAAATATTCAACTTTTAAAGCAGTCAAATTTTAGTAAAATATGAAACTTTTTGTTTATTAAAAGTAGTAAGTTTTGTACATTAATACACCTAAAATTTTAACTTCTGAGTAAACGAATTTAAATAAATTATATTACTTTTGATTATCAAAGAAGGAAGATTGTTTACTTAATAATTGGAATATGTTAATTCATATTTACTAAAAGGAAAATTGAAATATTTATACTTTACTTTCAGTTTTCAACAAATTTTAAAATTAAGTTTTATTTCTGCAAAAAAACAAGATATTAAACTTTTAACGTCGACAAATTTAAGTAAATTATATAACTTTTTATTATTAGTAAAATATATGTGATTAGTTAGTACTTTGTACAATTAAGTATAATGCAGTTAAAGGTAAACTTTGTACAAAGAAATATAACATTCTACGCAGACGAATTTATGATAATTATCTAACTTTTTTTTATTGTTTACTTTGCAATGCAAAAAGTAATGCATCCGTGGATATTGACAAGAGGAAAACTAGAAAATCCTCGCTTATTTGCATGTAAATTGAATTTTAAACCGTACGCTAAATGATCGTAAATTACAATTGAAATAAAACAAATTTAATTGCATGTACAAATGCACTTTATTTTGTACCACATAAAACAAATACGAGTTTAATAGTTTCAACATCCTTTATAGTAGACGTAGTATAATAAATGAGAAAATTTGTTTAGTAAAAAAGAGAAAAATCAATCAATTGCTATACATTTTAGTAATATAATGTAAGATTATTATCATAAATATTTGAATAGATATTTCAAAAATTGTATTTTTACTTATGTATTTTTTTTTTACTTTTTTTGTAGATCCAATTGTGGATTCGTGGCCGTTGATGGGAAGTCCTGTTCCTGTGCTGATTCTGCTCGGAGCTTACTTGTATTTCGTGCTGAAATTGGGGCCGGAATGGATGGCAAACAGGCAGGCCTTCGAGCTCAAGCACGTCCTCATCGGCTACAATTTATACCAGATGCTCTTCAGCTTGTGGCTTTGCTGTAAAGCGTTCGGTGTCAAAGATGGACTTGAATATATCTTTACAACGAGCTGCTCCGACCCGCACGCCTACAACCCACTCAGGAATATGGTAAGGTTCAAGCTTTATCTCTATCTTTCCCTTCTTCATTATTTATCCACCGACCAACGCAGATGCAGCATCCTTCGTGATAATACATAGCTCACTCATAACATAAGCAATTAATCACACAAAAAAAGATATTTCCTCTCATTTTTCCATTAAATTATGAAATTTATTGAGTTATTTGCTTTGATTGGGGTAAATCTGAACTGCAGATGCAACAAGATCCAATTTCTTGAAGAGAAGATCCAATTTGTACGAGAATGTGTTTTGCGAATTGAGTTTCGATTTCTTTCCTGTGTTTGTAGGTCACAGATGCAGCCTGGTGGTATTTCCTGTCCAAGCTAGTCGAATTATTGGACACGGTCTTCTTTATTTTGAGGAAAAAGCAATCTCAAGTCACTTTCCTCCACGTCTACCATCATTCCATCATGATGATTTTCTCATGGGCATATCTCAAATTTTTACCAGGTAATTAACATCACAAATTTTACAACTATTAAAATACAAAAACTTTTCGACTTACGACAGTTTGTAAATCTAATTTCATATAAGACAATAAAATTGTAATGCTTGATGGACGGACGGCGGATATATCCGCCATACACAATTGAAAAATCTCTCTCACGAAGGGTTAATAAATCAAATTTCATGCAAAAAATAAAATTATAATGGTTATTAGACTAACGGCGGATATATCCGCCATAGCCTTTATACAATTAAAAGATAAATCTTTCGCAAAAATTATACTTTGTTTTCATTTTTAACATGAATTTAATGTCGTAAATCGAAAATGTTGAGTATTTAATTTGAAGTTTACAGTTTAAAACTTTAACAATTCTCAATTTTAGGTGAACAAGGTGTTTTAATTGGATTCCTAAACTCTTGCGTGCACGTTATCATGTACTTCTACTATCTGATAGCAGCGATGGGTCCGAGATACCAGAAATACTTGTGGTGGAAGAAGTACATGACTTGGATCCAATTGGTAAGAATTACTTTCAAACATCAATTCGTTCCATAATTCATTTTATTCGTTCAGGGACAATTCTGCATTATGCTCGCATATCTCACATTGATCATCGTCATGGATTGCCAACTACCGAAAGCCCTGACATTCTTCTTCGTCGCAAACGTGGTCATCTTCCTCTACCTCTTCGGAAACTTCTACAGAAAAGCCTACACGAAACCGGGCGTCGGATCCAACCGCAGAAACGAATTCCTCTCGGTCTGTAAACTAAACTGAAGATAATATAGCATAACGAAATTTACCCAAATCCGATCAAAAAAAAATAGAAAAAACGAAAATTTCTCACAAAAAAAATACACTGTTAAAGTTAACAGTAAAGCCATTTGCTTGATTAGGGTCGGAGCATCACCAATTTTTTTATATAACGCGAACAGAACTATATAATAGATTTTTTTATTACAAATAATGTAAATACTTAAAACTTAAGTCTATTTAAATTAAATTGTAATAATTTACATCAGAATTTAACCCAAAATTTCCAATAACTTTGATTCCATAAAATTAACATTGATGTTAAAAAAGAGAAAACAAAGATGGAAACATAGGGTTAAATACTAGTATTCTCTTATATTACCAATTACGTCTTATATTTATTAACATTTATTTAATTAGTTTTTAATTACTCAGGCGATAAGTAGATAATTTGTTTTTTTGTTTATTAGTAACGTTGTTGTTGTTTTTTGTTTTGTTTTCTGTAAGTGGTTGTTGTTACTGATTTTGTTTGTCCCAATATTATTTTTATTTGTGGTAAAAAGTTATCTTTCATAGCTTAAAATAAAATATCAACAAATTAAATCTCTTAAGATATTAAACATTTAAAATTTAAATATTTTACTGATTTAATCCTTTTTCTTCTTATTGTATAATCTTCCATGATATAAGGATTTAGCCGGAAACGTAACTTAGTATTGCAATATATGCAACTTATCTAACGTAAGTAAATTAAGTTGCCTACATTTTAAAACAGTTATTATGTAATATTTTATTTAATATAATATTGTTATATGCACATTATTATATTACAAATATTAATATTATTGATTTCCTATTAATATGTTTACTTTTGGGAACATCGAGGGGATGGAAGGGATCATGTGTTTGACAGTGAATTGAATAGGGTTGCACGTGCCAAATGTGCCCTTTCCAATTGTAATCAAAATTGCGACAATAAACAATAATTGAACCATGCAATTATGTGAAAGAAGATAATCTTTACTTTCGACAACTGAAGTCAAATGGATTTAATCTATGAAGGTACATCCACCCTTTAAATTCCCTTGAATCACACACATTAACTGTCTTATAAGCTACAGTCCTGTCAAATTCAATTGTTTAATCATTGCTATAAATAATATTATATAAGTTAATTAGAAGTTAAAAAAAAACATGGTTTGCTTTGATAATTATTTTCTTCTGGAAATATTATATTTTTTAAATTGTTTTTTATCAAAAGCAATTAATCATTCAATCATTAAATTAATGGTTAAGAATTTTGTACAAAATTTAGCAGTAATTTGCGCAAATCATTTGAATTTTTTTTAATTAGTAATAAATTTTGATTTTCTTTAAGTTATTTTAATTAACAAATGCTATTACAACTTACATATAAAATATTAAACAGTCAATAGTTTAATCATTTCGTTAAGTTAAATGAATGTTAAATAACATTTAGTAGAAGTTTGCACTAAAAATTTGAAGCTATTATTTTTTGATTGGAAATAAATTTTGATTATTTTAAAGTTATTTAAAAATGTTATTATTAAATATGAAATATCTTCAAATCTATAGATAATATGGAATTAACAATAAGTTATTAGTAATATTATATTTTTATTTAAATATTTGTTTGTTGCCTAAATTTGTTTTTCTAAATTCGATGTAATCAAATCATTATTTCAATAATTTCTTTTATAAACTACACGAGAATACACAGCAAAATTATTGCAAATAAATTAGTTTACAAAGTAGTTTTAAATCTTGATATTTTCGATTTAATGAAGTAGACATGCGGCGCTGGTATCGATCCAACCCTGCTGACATTCCACTTCTTCTCTTTTTTTTTGTAGGGCATATGTTTAAGGTCCTTGCTCTGGCAGTGGAGCAATGAATTTCACGACGCGAAAAATCTAAGTTAAAAAAAAAACTGTTTGTAAATCTCATATATTTTCTAGGATCTTTTACAATTAAGTAGACTAGTCCATTCACTTTTGTTTATCTAGTTAAAGACATTCACTTAGCTTTGACGAGCAATTGTTTTTATATTAAGAATTGTGAATGTACAATTGAAAGAAAGGAAACAAATAGAAAAGGATTACATCAAATATTCGATATATATTTTTGTTTTGTTTTAAATAATTATAAATTACAAAATAAAAAATAATATGAGTACATGGTAAAATATTGAGCAATACATTATTTTTTTAAAAATAACAATATATAAAGTATAATATTCGATTAATAAGTTGTCTTAATGTTTACAAGTAACAATTATCTTTATGACTAGGTTTTATACTAAATGCACAGAACATAAATGCTTATGATAACAATTATTAAATGATTTACGTAAAATTTGATGAGTATAGGATATCTCTTTATTTACACTATTATTCACTACAACCCAATTTCATGTACTATACTCAATTTGATATGCTTCTATCGATTTACTAAACTGTACTCCAACGTTTCTCAACCCTATTTGTGGAAATACTGCGACTCAAACGTTAACAATTTTAGTAGTTTGACGTAAGGTGACAGTTGACAGCTGTCAAAAATTAACCCATACATTGAGAAACTTTGTTATACTGTAGTTCGCTAAAATAACGTTATGATAACAATCCATAAATGATTTACTTAAAATTTGATGAATATTGTTTTTTTTTTACATTATTAATTACTAAAATCCAATTTCATATACTATATTCAATTTGATATGTTTTTTTTCAATTTGCTACACTATATTGAAGCGTTTCCCAAACTTTTTTTTGTAGTTGTACTGAGAACAAATTGTTTATAATTTTATCAGTTTGACGTAAGATGACAGTTGACAGCTGTCAAAAATTAACCCATAGATTGAGAGATTTTGTTATACTGAATTTGATGATAACAATCATTAAATGATTTACGTAAAATTTAATGAGTATAGGTTTTTTAGACAATTAATTACTACAATCCAATTTCATATACTATATTCAATTTGATATATTTTTTTTTAATTTCCTACAGTATATTGTAGCGTTTGTCAAACGTTTTTTTGTAGTTGTATTGAGACCCAATTATTTACAATTTTATCAGTTTGACGTAAGGTGACAGTTGACAGCTGTCAAAAATTAACCCATAGATTGAGAGACTTTGTCATACTGAATTTGTTTGCTGCAGTTCGCTAAAATATCGTTATGATAACAATCATTAAATGATTTACGTAAAATTTGATGAATATAGGTTTTTTTACACAATTAATTACTACAATCCAATTCTATATACTATATTCAATTTGATGTTTTTTTTTTATTTTCCTACAGTATATTGTAACGTTTGTCAAACTTTTTTTTGTAGTTGTACTGAGAGACCCAATTGTTTACAATTTTATCAGTTTGACGTAAGGTGACAGTTGACAGCTGTCAAAAATTAATCCATGAATTGAGAGACTTTGTTATACTTAATTTGTTTGCTGCAGTTCGCTAAAATATCGTTATGATAACAATCATAAAATGATTTACGTAAAATTTTATGAGTATAGGTTTTTTTTACACAATTAATTACTACAATCCAATTTCATATACTATATTCACTTTGATATGTTTTTTTTCAATTTACTAGAGTATATTGTAGCGCTTGTCAAACTTTTTTTGTAGTTGTACTGAGACCCAATTGTTTACAATTTCATCAGTTTGACGTAAGGTGACAGTTGACAGCTGTCAAAAATTAACCCATACATTGAGAGATTTTGTTATACTGAATTTTTTGCTGCAGTTCTCTAAAATATCGTTATGATAACAATCATTAAATGACTTACGTAAAATTTGATGAGTATTGTTTTTTTTTACACTATTAATTACTACAATCCAATTTCATATACTATATCATATTTGATATGTTTTTTTTTTCAATTTGCTACAGTATATTGTAGCGTTTCTCAAACTTTTTTTTGTAGTTGTACTGAGACCCAATTGTTTACAATTTTATCAGTTTGACGTAAGGTGACAGTTGACAGCTGTCAAAAATTAACCAATAGATTGAGAAACTTTGTTATACTGCAAAATATAATGATTATTGTTTTTTTTACACTATTAATTACTACAATCCAATTTCATATATTTTTTTCAATTTGTTACACTGAGAACAAATTGTTTATAATTTTATCAGTTTGACGTAAGGTGACAGTTGACAGCTGTCAAAAATTAACCTATAGATTAGAAACTTTGTCATACTGAATTTGTTTGTTGCAGTTCGCTAAAATATCGTTATTATAACAATCATTACATGATTTACGTAAAATTTGATGAGTATTGTTTTTTTACACTATTAATTACTACAATCCAATCCAATCAGTTTGACGTAAGGTGACAGTTGACAGCTGTCAAAAATTAATCCATAGATTGAGAAACTCTGCTATACTCAATTTGTTTGCTGCAGTTTGCTAAAATAACGTCAGTCTTTCGAGCTGTTTCTCTTTCATTCTTTTAGTATTTTAATGGTATTTTAACAATCTGCGAGTTGTTCAATATGTGTATAAGAGATACAAAGAAAACGCACGTCTGTATCAAATCTTCTTTGGATATTGCTGATTATTTTAAATAAATGAACGTATCGCGCGTTTTCATCTCCTATCCACTCCTATATTTCAAATTTTTACAATTTGCATTGAGGTAATTAAACGACAACTGTTTGTGTATGTGTAAATATATATATATATAGATATAAAAAGTCTTTTGCGATTGATTAACGTAATTTGGCTTAAACCTGATTTCCTCTCTCCAATTATTATGTGTGTGTTCACCGAAAGAAACCTAATCTTTCTTGATGGCTTTGTTCCTGTTGTAGGTTTGGTAGTAGAAATGCGAGAAGAGGCCGAAGAAGATTGCGGAGTGCAGGAGGAGAAGGGCGCCCAGGAACATCGGATATCCGCAGTCCACGAATAGGATCTGGGCCGAATGTATGAACACGAAGAAGAATTGGGTCTGAAATTATGAAAATTGTTGTAAGTATTTGCTGATAATTTCTCTTTGAAGCTTACCAATTGGATAGTGGTCAAATGTTTCTTCCACCAAAGGTACTTCTGGTAATCCGGACCCATCGCCGATACCATGTAATAGAAGTACATGATCACATGCACCAGGTTGTTGATCAGATTGGAGAACGTGCCATGACCGCCTATATACAGAAAAATTTATATCAGAAGAGAAAAACACATCTTTACATAGTTTCAAAATCCCGCATGAAGAATGCGCGCCACTCTTTGCTCGTTCCGTTGCACTTTCTAACCAGTTTCTCGATTCCAGTTTTTTTTTCCTACTTCAAATGGCAAATGCATTTTAGCGTTGGGCAACAACGATTGCAGCCGCGCAGCGCATAGTCGACGTTTCTGATTAATTGGACGGTGAAAAATTGTAAAATGCAACAATTAAGATATAGCACGTTTTACGATCGGAACGAATGTTTTTTTTTTCTCTTGTGCTATAGTCAATTTTTCGCTCGTTCTCTTCTTGAGAAACAAGTTTCTTTTCTCTTCTGTTCTTTGCAACTCTTTACTTTACAGATTTTTAATTAGAGTTTGGTCTGCATTCAAACAGGTTTATTATTAAATGTCTTTTGGGTTGCATAAAACAACACTTTGCAAACTATTCTAATTAAGAATATTTCTTAACCGTTTTATATACAACGACTTGTCCCATGCCTCTAAAGTTTATTTTTAGAATGTTCAATTAATTACGCGGTAAAAATGATAACTAGTAAAGTTTTAAATCTATAAAATTGTAAAGAAACATAATAATTTTGACGGTAAGTTTTTCGATCAAAATTTTTGAAGTTATATAAAAAAATTGTTCGAGTAAAACTTTTATACACAAATGATACAATAAATTCTTCAGATGAATTGAATTGGATAATAATGATATAAATCCATTTAATGCAAATCATGGGATCAACGCTTTGGTTTTGAAAAAAAATAGTCAAATTGAATACTTCTTTATGATCTCCAACAAGTACTGAATAATGACTTTTCAGAATGATAATATAAGGAACAAATAGAAAAGTAGTCTTTAATATTTTTTCAATTATTTACAGATGAAACAGATCAATGCTCTTTTACTTCTCATTATTTGATGATGATTTAAATTACTACAAAATTTTACTGTAATATTTTCAAAATTATTATTTCAGTTCAGTTCAATTCAATATTCAGTAATATTGGTAGAAAATTAAAGCAATTTCATAATTGAGTTCAGAATGCGTAAGTTCTCTCAGCTCATTTTCATTAGCTTATGGAGAAGTAAAACAAAATCAATGAATTCTGTATAAAATTTTCAGCGTTTTCTTTTATAAGATTAAATTTTGTAAACTTACCGGCTACGAATTTAACCAAGACCCAAGTCTCCAACGGGGTCAGACTGTGATGGTAGAGATGGAGGAGGGTGATTTGGCTGTCTTTCTTTCGCATCACGAAGAAAACTGTGTCGGCGAATTCGGAGAGTTTCGAAATGTAGTACCACCAGCAGAGCGTGGCCATCTGCAGATTGAAGAAGGAAAAATTTCAAGAGAGTGAGACATGAAAGAATTTGCGCATTTGTTTGGCCTCTCTTCTGTGTGTGTATGCCTATGTGGAAACATGTTTTGTCGAGATGGAATTAGTATTCCCTCATCAAACAAAACGCTCGTTATTTTATGCACCAATATTTCTTTTGCAATTTGTTAACACAACATTACGTAATATTCGCGTTTATTTTTGCAATTGTTGTTGTTGCTCGAAACTCACCCTCATTCCTTTCTCGCTGTTGGAGTAATCCACTGGTTGACATTTGTAGCTGTAGTCAAAGAACCATCCGCTCATCAAATGCTGAAATTGTTAAAGTTGGTAAATCATGATTGCTGTGTATTATGCAAATAGTGAAAGAAAAGGAAATATTGACCTCCTAAATGAATTGTCAGCAACAATGTCAATGCAAAAGCAATTCCGCTTGTTTCGCGCTAATTATTTCGTACAATTAAAACTTGACCAATCCCGAAAGGGACTTCGACACGAGAGGTTTTTTCCCAACTGAGAAATCCTTGGATTGCACAATGCACCCTGTCACCAATCAAATATTTTTTGTTAATCTTAAGATTTGCATCATGTTAAATTGGATTCAGTTGAAGCGCGATCGACGAATGTCCTTGAAATGCTTTCTCTGCGGCCTTGGAACTAGTAAAACTGAAGTCCTTGAAAGAGAAAGTGGCACGGAAGAAATTATGAGCGCAACGGCACTTGTTTCACTGCGCGTTTCTCTCGCGTTATGTAAAGGCCTTAAGGATTAAGTTCAATTGTGATATAATGTAACCGATGGCGGCCAACGGCCAAGGACGTGATCCTCGATCAGCTCAGATCGAAATCCCGACACCCGAATTCCTCCCGGACAACTAAAATCCCGACAACCATAATACCGACAGTGTAAAAATCCCGACATTGGAAATCGCGACAGTAACTTTTATTATTCGATATTGACGTAAAACAATTGAATTTAAAAATGGGCGTCATTACTTACTAGAACATTAGAAAATTTATAATTTTGACAGCTGTCAAAAAAGTTGCGACTCTACGTCTTTTTTAATACAATTTTTTATCTTCAGGATTCTCTCCACATATTTTAGATATTTTTTAGTTTCATTTGCAATTATGAAAATTCTCGAGTCTCGAGCATAATTCCAATGTATCTAGACTATTTAAAATTCCCGGGAAATTTGTCCCGGGAATTCCCGTTACAACGACATTAGTTCCCCGTATTAGAGAGTAAAGACTACCAAAATCTGCTAAAATGTTCAGGATTTTGATACTGTCGAGATTTTGCTCATGCCGGGAATTTAATTGTCGGGATTTCGATATAGACAAGATCGTTATGATTTACTTATCAATTTACATGTAATTTCTTTCTTACCTCATAGAGCATGTACAAGCTGAAGAGCACTTGACCGCCGTTGTAAAGGACGAGGACCTCTCTCAACTTGAAGGGCTTTCTGTTCGCCATGAGTCTGGGACCCAGGAATATCACGGTGTAGAGGTACGCCAGGACCATCACTATAGTCGGTATAGGGCTGTTCATCAAGGGCCAATCCGTCGTCCTTGGATCTGATCGAAGGGACAAGAAAAAAGAAAAAGAAGTTAAATCAGGTATTGTCAAATTGCAATTATATCTATATATTTCGCTCATTAAAATCTTGAAGCCGAACGCAATTAGAAAATGGCTTCGCGCTCTATTTGCAGATTACAATCGTTGCGCCACGTGCTGCGACTTGCACAAACTTCGCTAATTAAATTTTTGCATTATTTCCATTAAACTCGATCGAAATAGAGCTCACCCCCCCAACATAGTTTGCGCAAATAAACTGGCGACAACAATGACGGATTGCGTCGCTTGTTTATTGTCGTTCGATGCGTATGATAATTTTGTAACGGCAAGTGCATCTAGGATTCTGGAGCGACAGAGTGAAAGTCAGAATCTAAGCATCTATTGAAATCGAAAATAGATAATATTTTTCTCTTTTGATACATTTGATTTTAATTGCTGCCGTTGCGGTTCGCGTTTCGCAATTTTTTGCGCGCACAATTAATTGGAATCACTTCAATGAAGAGATTATGAAGACTTAACTTGCAATTCATTATAATCATTTCTGTATTAGCAAATATTTAATTGTCAATTCAAAACTAACCAAGCAATATAAAACTTTCAATTTAATAAAAAAAATTTAATCTAATTTACTAAATTAATACAAAAATTGAATTTTATAATATATAAACTTATTAATTCAATTATTGCGCATATTAATATTAGTAATTAATAATAACTAACTGAACAATACTCACACAATTTTTATATAAAATTTTAAAAATTTTAAATAAATTTCCTGATTTATTAAATTTATGAAATTATCAATGTTCTTACTGAAAATTTATGTAAATTTAGTGATTAAAATTTTAGTGTTAACAAAAAAACTTTATAAAGCAATTATTAAATTCAAGATATAATCAATGAATTCTCTAATATTTGAATGGTTTTCAAATGAAAATTAATGAAAACTTACTAATTCATTTTACGTTCATTATGCTGTAAGCAAATTTTTATTTGTCAATTCAAATTTAACTTAACAAAAAACACATATTCGATATAGAATTACAAACTTTATAAACAAATTTTCAAATTTATTAAATTACTGAAATGATAAATTACTTTTCATTGTTCTTAAACTGAAAATGTATGTAGACTTACTAATACAATTTTTGTGCATATTTGTGTTAGCAATGTATTAATTACATTGAATAAAACTAACACATATTAGATATAAAATTACAAAATTTATAATCAAATTTTCAAATTTATGAAATTCCTCAAATAATCAATTAATCATCTAATATTTACTTATTGATTCAATATTTGTGTTAGCAACTTTTTAATTGTCAATTCAAAATTTACTGAACAAAATTATAAATTCTCTAATATTTCACTTTCCTTAAACTGAAAATATATGTAAACTTACTGATTCAATGTTTGGGTTAGAAAATTTTTAATTGTTAATTCAAAATTAATTGAACAAAACTAACACATATTAGATATAGAATTACAAAGTTTATCAACAAGTTTTCAAATTGATTAAATTCATGAAATAATCAATGAATTCTCTAACATTTCATTGTTTACTAATACAATTTTTGTGCATATTTCTGTTAGCAATGTTATAATTACATCACAATTAACTGAATAAAACTAATACATATTAGATATAAAATTACAAATTTTTTAATCGAATTTTCAAATTTATGAAATTCATGAAATATTCAATTAATTCTCTAATATTTACTCAATGATTCAATATTTGTGTTAGCAAATTTTTAATTGTCTATTCAAAATTAACTGAACAAAAGTGCCACATATTTAATATATAATTACAAATTTTATAAACAAATTTATTAAATTCATAAAATAATCACATAATTCTGTTAAACAGAAAATGTATGTAAACTTACTGATTCAATGTTTGTATTAACAATTTTTTAACTGATCTAAACTAATATGCGAGATATACAATTACAAAGTTTATAAACAAATTTTCAAATTTATTAAATTCATGAAATAATCAATGAATTTTTTAAATATTTTACTTTAATTACGATTTTTAATATTATTAATAAAACCTAAGACCTTATTAAATAAACTGAATAAATAGATTGAATATAATCTTTATTGGGTAATAAAATTAGATTTTAATTTCACAATTTTAATATTTTTAATTAAATATAAGCTTTTATTAATTATTTTAACAAAGTTTTCCGTGATGAAACGAATCAATTATTTTTTTTAACTTTGATTAAGCAATATTATAAGTAAATTTTACAAATTTTAAATTTTATTAATGAGGACTATGGCGTTATGTTACATCATCAAAATAAGTGAGTCTTTGCTTACGAATGTTTAAATATACTTGCATAATGCAGACGCGAAAATATCAATGCTGAATTATTGAGGATTTCCGAATGCCAATGCTATTTTGCAAACGAAACGAATACATTCCGGGATTGTTATATAACGCGATTAGCAAACGGTGAAAATATGATAGATGATTCTTGTTTTTATTTTCTCTCTATTTGTAACGCGTGATATTATATTGGCAATATCAATTAATTCGAGACCCAACGAACAGAAATAATAAAGTGAATGGTATAGCTTTTCCTTCTTCGTTTTCTTTGCATTGTTCCTTCTGGTTTCAAACACTCATCTATTCAAATAAATTGTTATTTTTGTTCGAATCAAGCTTTTTTGTGGATTTAGTTGATTTTTCTAAAGAAATAGCGTGGTAAAGTAAATTATTATTTTGATTTTGTAATATAATTTTTGTGTTTTTTTTACTAATAAACTCTATTGATTAAAGGGAAAACCCGAATTGAGATACAATAACAAATGAATACTTGTTTTGGCATGGGAATAATGAATTTACTTCTTTGTTAAATATGTAAGTTTTAAATTACATAACTAAATAATTATGGTTATAAGAGGTTATGTGGATAATCAACTTTAAAAAATTTATTAGATTTCATCATTTTTAAACATAAATTGTTTAAAAAAAAATTATGAATTGCAATTTATTGACTATTTTTTTAAGTTTATGTCTATTACAAGAACTTTCAGCTGTTTGATTTACAACGATTTCTTGACTAATTTTGGAAAATTTATTGAAGTTTGTGTGTTCTTCCAGAACCTTCATTTTCCTACATTTCTTGACCAATTTTGTAACATTCATTTAAGTTCATGTGTTTTACAACAACTTTCAACTGTTTATTTTACATCAATTTAATGATTTTTGAAAATTCATGGAAGTTCATGTCTTTTATCAGAACTTTCAACCTTGTGTATTTCATTGTTTGGTTGTTTAATTTTTGAAGATTAATTGAAATTCTTGTCTTCTAAGAACTTTCAACCTTGTGTTTTTCATACCAGCACTTTTAACTGTTTGATTTACAACGATTTGTTGACTAATTTTGCAAAATTCATTGAAATTTATGAACCTTTTTTTTTTGTTTTTCCTACATTTCTTGACCAATTATGGAAAATTCATTGAAGTTCATGTGTTTTACAACAACTTTTAACTGTTTATTTTATATAAATTTCGTGATTAATTTTATAAAATACGTCGAAGTTCAAACTTTGTATTTTTCATTGATTTCTTGACTAATTTTTGAAGATTAATGGAATTCATGTCTTTTAATACAACTTTCAACAGTTTGTTTTACAATACACTGACATCTTGACTAATTATGGAAAATTAATTGAAGCGCATGTCTTCTGACAAAACATCGAATTGTTGACCAATTTTTGAAGATTCATTGAAGTTCATGTCCTTTAATAGAACTTTGTTTTACAACGATTTGTTGACTAATTTTGGAAGATTAATTGAAGTTCATGTCTACTACAAGAACTTTCAGCTGTTTTTAATAATTTTGTTAAGTGTCATCATATTTAAACGTAAATTGTTAAATAATTAATTAATTTATTATAGTTTTTCATGGACAAACATTTTTTTTTGTATTGTGCAAGATCTGGGTTATACATTACATAATTAAATAAGTTTCAATATAAGCTGAAAACTGATTTGACTAATAATTTGTATCTGAAATGTTACTAAATGCAAGTAGTTAGATCATTAACAAATTGCTGATTATTATATAATAGGTTTACAATTAATTCATTAATACTATTAATTCTGCGGTATATATTAATATGATTTTGTAGAAAACTTTTGTACAATAGATGCGATTTCTTTTCGATACGCAGACAAGGAAAGTAAAGAGATATTGCGTCAAAGCGTAATTAAATTAAAAGCTGTTGCATTTCGATCGGGTGTAGCAATTCTGCAGAAAAGTCTGCGGTGCGCGTTGGAAAGATCAATTTCTTCTATTGCCACACGCGAAAACGAGAGGGGACGGAGTTTCTCACTTACCACTAATCCTATCTAAAATATTCCCGTACGTGTCTATCGCCATCCGAACCAATCCTGCCATTTCCTAAAAGAAAAGAAAAACAACAATAAGAAAATTAAATTTCAATCAATATAATTGCAATATTTTAGTTTATATTTGCATAATCCTAATACTAATCTTTGGTAAATCCTAAAGACGTATTAATTTGTTTTAACAATTATAACTAATTCATCAAAAAAAATCTGAAATTTCGTAAATTTTGATTAAACATTTAATTGAAGGTAACAATAATTTACGTATTAATAAGCAAATCAATTATAATTTGGTATATTTAAGTACAATAAATTAAAAGCTGACGATAAATACGTTAATTTCTTACTTTTTGTTTAAAATAAATCCTGCAATTTTTTAAAAAGAGTTACACAAAACCTTGATAAATTTATTGGCAATAATTAGTTGAAGGTTAAAAACAATTTGCGCAATAGTAAATAAATAAAATATATTTAAGTACATCAAATAAAAATTTAACAAAAATAACTGTAATTTCTTAAGGTTATTTCAAAGTTTTGTTTTTGTGGGTTAAGGAAATAAAATTACATAGTTTTATTCGGTCGAGCTTCAAGGTGCTGACAGGTTATTGCATGTAATTCTTGCAAGGATCGAGCAATGTTTTTGGATAGCTGTAATTAGCTTATTCAACCTTGCCGATTGATACGAATTTGCTGCATGAAATTCCTATGCATCTCGGCTATTTATGAGGTCAAGATTGATGCGATCCGAAAAAGGAGTTTCAGATGCGATGCAAAAGAAAAAATGCTTCGACCCACAAAGACGATTTCGTAATAGGGGTGTTAGTTGATAGTTTCTAAAAGCTGCTGTTTCCTATCTGGTATGATGAGAAAACGTAATTATCTTGGCTTTGGTTTGAAGTTCATGGCTTCAAATCTGTGTATATTTAATATAACTTTGAACTATCAATAACTAAAGGCTGTCCCAAAATTAACGCAAGATTTGAATTTGCCGCCATTTGTGCGGTAAAGTGTTGGCAACCCAAAAAGAGAAACAATTTGACAGCTGAGAGGTTAGGGTTAGTAAAAATCTTTTTAACTAATTTTAGAAACTTCATTGAAGTTTACGTCTTTTCATGTTGATAGAGCGATTTCTTGGCTAATTTTGAAGAAAAAATATTAAAGTTTATATCTTCTTATAGAACATTTGTATTCTGTCGATTTTTTGTCTAATTTTGGAAGAATTATTAAAGGTCATAAAAGGATTTCTTGACTAATTATGAAAAAAAGTTTCAACTATTTATTTTTACCATTTGTAGACTAATTTTGAAAAATTCATTGAAGATTATGTCTTTTACCAGAACTAACTACCTATTGATTATTTTTTTGAAGATTCTAATAGAACTTTCAAATGTTTGACTGTTTATGTTTGAAGTTTATGTCTTCAGATTGAACTTTCAACTATTTGTTTTTACAATGATTTTGAAAATTCGTTGAAGTTAATCTATTTTATAAGAACTTCCAAATGTTTGATTTACATCGATTTCTTGACTAATTTTTGAAGTTTCGGCAAAGTTCATTTCTTGTGATACAACTTTCAACTGTTGATCGATTTCATGATTAATTTTTGAAGTTGCATTGATGTTCATGTCCTATGTCAAAACTTTCATATTTTTGTTTAACCTCGACATCTTGACTATTTTTGAAAAAAAAAACATTGAAGTTTATGTCTTTTGATAAAACTTTTAACAATTTGTTTTACTTCTATTTGTTTTTCAGCTGTTTGTTTTTCATAGATTTCTTGACTAATTTTTGAAAATTCATTGAAGTTCATGTATTTACAAGAAATTTCAATTGTTTTACTTAAATTTCATGATTAATTTTGGAAGATTCATTGACGTTCATGTCTTCTACAAGAACTTCTGTTTTTCATAGATTTCTTGACAAATTTTGGAAACTTATTGAAGTTCATATCTTTTACAAGAACTTACAATTGTGTTTTTTACATCAATTTCATGAGTAATTGTTGAAGATTCATAAAAGTTAATTTATTGAAATCTATGTCTTCTAACTAAACTTTAAATTACTTGTTTTCGCTTTGACATCTTTAGAAGATTCATTGATGTTTATGTCTGCAAATCTTAATATATATTTTCTATATAATATTATTTTTGTTCAATTTTGGAAGATTCATTGATGCAATAAACAGAGATCCTGACCTGCGTTCTCATATTCGAACAGAACGGTTTTGTAAATACATAAAGTGGACGAAAGCAAGAGTTGTTTTTGTTATATAAGAGATCGACCTACATAGCTGAGAAACATTAGAGATTGTGTCGACCCAACCTACAGCCGTGTCACAAACACACATACACAAACATCGCAAGAGAGAGAGAGAGAGAAACATACATCAAGTATATTGCAAACACTCTCAAAAACCGAAAAGTGTTTTCTTTGGAAATCGCGGCGAGCTGAAACAAGACAAGTCAGGGTTACGCAGAATTATAACTATATGCACGAGAAGCTTACGCAATTTCCGATGCATTTCGGGTACAGAGAGAAAAACGACACGCATTTTCTTTATACATATTAAAGTCAGTTTTTCGCAAAACAACAATTAGAGTCGTCGAGGTCGTTTCACTTTTACTTTAAAGCCGTTTCGTGTTACTCTTATTTTTTTCTTTCTTTAAACTTTGAGTTTGGGTTATATTGTCAAGTGGTAATAACAGCAGCCTTCCGTGACTTGTGTTGCTTCTAAGGTGGAAACCGTTTTCGGACTTCGACCTTCTTGTACTTGTACAAACAATCCTCAATCCAATGTCAAGAGGATATTAACCATTATTTTTGTAGTGTATAATTTATAATTATAATCAAATAATAAGCCTCTTAAAACACAGTAGAGACGAATTAAAGTTATTCTCTTTGTTTTTTCGCAATTCAATCATTTTCAATGCACTTTACTCATTACCAAATTCATATTTTTTTGAAATCAATATTATTTATTAGTTTATAGTAAAAGGTTATAAAATTAGTAAACTAAGAGAATTTCTACAAAATATTAATAAAAAAATAATTATTTCCACCATTTAATCGGTTTAATGCACAATAATACATGATGCGAATATATTCGTCATAAGCGCTACGCAATAGAAGAGACCATGACGATTATATACGTCATAACCACTTAAAGGGTTAAGTTGTATCTATTGAGCTTCTAACCATAAACATTTTGTAAACTAAAAGAAATGGAAATATTTTGTAATATTTAAAGAACTGAACTATTATTATAGCAATGACATTAACAGTTTTTAAATTATATTTTCTATAGTTTAAAAAAACAATTTTTTTTAACTGCATCATGGAGGTTGTTCGTGGCTTATGCGAGCATGCAACTTCCCAAACATAAATCACTTTTATAATCTTCTCGAATATATTTAAATTTACAAAAAAAAAAAAAAGGATTAATTTGGATTTAATCCAAAAAAAAAAAGTTACATAATGCAAACCAAATTATGACTACATTTCCTACATTAACCATTTCAGTCTTAAAACACCGAAATTTAATTGGAAAAAACAATTATTTATCGTGTACAAAATAATTAGGTATATTTCCATTACAAAAATATTTCAAATTTTCAATAATTTTCCAAAAATTCTCGAATTCAAATGACGAAAAAAAGAAAGAGAAATTGCATAAGTAAAGTATATTAATTCATAATTTCTATAAAAACAAAACATTTTTATGTAATTACATTTTTATTCGGTTATTTTTCATTTAATCCAAAAAAAAAGTTACATATGCAAACCAAATTATGACTATATATCCAACATTGCACGTTTGAGTCCTAAAACATCAAAATTTTAATTTTTTATACAATAATTAGAAAACCCACTTATTTTTCTTGTACAAAACAATTAGGTACATTTCTATTACCAAAAATATTTAAATTTTCTAAAAATTCTTGAATTCTCTAATGACTAAAATAAGAGAAATTGTATAAGTAAAGTCTATTAATTCATAATTTCTAAAAAACCTAAACAAACCATATTATGACTACATTACCTACATTAACCCTTTGTGTACTAAATACCGAAATTAGAACTTATTGGAAACATCACTTATATAATTTATCTTATACAATAATAAGTTTATTATTAAACACAATATATTTGTTATTATAACAATTGTTACAATGTGGTTTCATTAATGAACCACCAGGACCGAAATACATTTTTTTTAAGCTGTTGTAGTTATTCTGTTATAAAACTTAATATAAAATTGTGGTTTCAGTAAAGATTTTGAATATAAATGATTAAAAAAGTGGTTTCATTATGATACCACTAGAACAATTTACTTCCGGTTTTAGATAAACATGTGAATTATAAATGTATATAAGAAAAAGTAAATTAGTATATCAAAATGATAAAAAACTAAAATTTATTTATAAATTTGAGTGAAATATTATTAGAAATGATATTTATGCAAATTAATTTTTGTGACCATCAAAATAGTTGCAGTTGCATCGAGGATAACATCAAAATTAACATGATCGTAAATGTCTGCTTCCTAATATGTATACATATTTTTTGTTATTAAAAATTGGTATTTAGAATAGGAAGGTTTCTATTTTTTTGTGTCCAACAGTTCCGGTTTTTTGATCTTGGACGAAACCTTCAAAATTTTATTACACTTTAAACTTGTTGCTAATTCAATTAACATCTGCGCAAAATTGTTTATTTTTTTTGTGTTACTCGACCTTGCTGAAGAATTTCTAATTGCTATCAAAGTATCATCATAAATTATTTTGAAATCTATTATTTCGTTATTGAATTTTATTGATGATGAGTTTATTGTTCTTTCGAAATTAATATTATTTATTAGTTTATAGTAAAACATGAAATATTTATAAAAATCAAAGGATTTCTTATAAATAACAACAAAAAGGTAATTAGAAAAAAAAAACCTTAAAATTTTATTGCTCTTTAAACTTGTTGCAAATTTACTAAACATCTGCTCAAAACTATTACTTTTTCCTTATTTTGGTCCAATTAAGCGACCTTGCTGAGTTATTTCTT